TTTTTTTTTTTTGCTTGAACAACTCTGAAATGTCTATAATTGATCCGTTATATTATAAGTAATATGGCTGTGAGGAAATAAATGATTTGGATTATGGAACTTCAACATTCACTAATTTGACTTATTAATACTAATGAATTAACCTGGATAATTACTAAAATATTTTATATAGGACATAATCAAACTATGGCCAGGGAACCGGATTCGATACGAGAAAAGCTTTTATACAGCCTGCTCACAATTTTGCTTGTAGAAGTTTAGATTTACTTGGCCTCATTGTAAAAAGTTAATAGGTCTCGTAGTGCCAATAATTCAATAGGTCTCAACATGTCAATAGAATATTTAGCAGTTCCCATTTAGAAACAATTAATAATAATAATAATAATAAAACTTATATTTATTTTGTACTTGTTCAGTTCTTCCTTAGTGTACAGTAAATTATTGTATTACTCTATGTAAGTATATTGTGAGAATTAGTAAACTAACATTCTTTTAAAAATCTCGCGCACGGATCTGACTGATGAGATAGGCCATAAACATTAAAACGAGTGTGATGTAACAAATTCTCCTAAATTTAGTTCTTTTATTTGTAATCAGAATGCAGTTTTTCATGCCTATTCTATACAGTATCCAAAATCGGTTAATTAATATATAAATTAATTAGATAAATACAATACAGTAGTATCACGTACAGTACTTCGAATTTAATCAGTTCTAGCAGGTTGTTCGAAATCCGAATAAATTTTTTTCGTTAGGAAAGTAAATTAATCCGTTCTCAGTCCCTACCCAATATCCATTTTGTTAAAATTAAATGAAAATATACATGATTTAAGTATTTAATAAAGTTGTCATTATAAATTTTTCGTAACAATTCGGTTTATATTTATATCCCTGAAAAACAGTAAAACCTAATTAAAACAGAACCTTAGTTATACGAAAACCTGCCTAAACGGGAAGAATTTTTCGGAACCCAGCGATTTTCTGTATTAAAAAAAACCCGTTCAAAACATGCCAAACCGAAAAAAAAAAATACTCGGTACTGTGCAGGTCCAGTTTACGCATGTTTTGTTATATGTATTGATAAATTATATATTTTTAAAAGTGATATTATTATTATAACTTTATTTGTTAATTTTAATTAATTTTTGATATAAATATTATTTTATTTACAGTAAATACTCGTTTTGAAACAGCACGAAAATTATTTGAAGAAAAATGGGAGAATCCATCTGAGGTTTCAAATTTATTAATCTTATTTTACTAATATGAATTATATAAATTATAAAGATGATTAATTTAATAATAATATAATCGAATTTTCAGCCGTCGGAACAAGTAGAAAATTTTAAAGTATTAAAAATATTGGGAACGGGTTCATTCGGTAAAGTTGTATTGGTTCAGCATAAAACAACAGAAGAATATTATGCTATGAAAGTCTTGGATAAACAAAAGGTATTTTAATTTAATTTAATTTAATATTCTTTTATATAATATTAGCATTTACAACTTTGCTAAATAAGCCTGCACAGTTATGCAAAATCGAATTCTTAGCTTGGTTTACAAACATCGTGGAGTCATCTGATCATACAATCCTCTTCCAATCTTCTAAGTCCAGTCTTAATAGTGTTTGGCAGACTTAAAGACGATTTTATTCGTTATTAGCATTTACAATTTTTTTTATAAAACTCATCTCTACCCTGAAAATTAAGCTTTTTGCCGTTTTATAATAGTTAAAAATATAAAAAGTTTTTAAAATGAAATATGATAACAGATGGCGAAACCAAAATTTTAAACGTCACCGGGAAAATCGAGCAACTCGTTGTTGGTTTATTTAAAAATAATTCTTCAGTCAAGTTTTTTTCGTTATGTAATAATACCGTATCTTTCTAATTAAAATCGAAGATACATGATCTAAATTAATCGATTTGATTGATAAGATCAAGTGATTGCGGAGGACTTTGTAAGATATATAGACAATATTTAGAATGATTAACTTCCCTAGAATAGAAATTTACACTGAGATTAACTGTGCACGTTTTTCTACATCATTTTTCAAAATAATTAAATAAAATAATAATAAATAAATAATGTATATATTTTTATTTCATTTGTATTATTTATACATATATAGGCCTATTCACCAAAATTACACGAAGTTATGCATCTCATAATTACTCCATCACCTCAATAGTTAAATTAGTCATTGGTTAACACTAGATATATCTACTACATATATTGCACATAACACTTAGATTAAAGGATTTAATTTTTTCTATCTTTTGTATAATACCGATACTTGTATTATTTCGTATAGGCCTATATCTAGAACTCCTATCGGGTTATGTTGATGTTACAAAACAAATATATTTTAAATAATTAGGCATTACCCGAAAAATAGGGTGGGCAAAACTTCTTTACAAAGTTTCTTTCATTTTTTTAAAAAATGAATGTCTAATTATCGGAATAAAATGCGGTTATGTGGTAAGGATTGTGTTTCCACCATAGTTCTTCCATACTTTATGAATGTTTAAGGTTTTTAGACTTTTTGCCTACTTCGTATAAATGTGCCAAATAAATTTAATAACGAATGTATTTGATCGCCATTCAACATGTCCAACATTTCCTTCAGGTATCAATAGGCAAAGAAAAGAAAAATAGATCAATAGTTTCTAGGGGAGAAAATTAAAATAATAGTATAAAATGCATAATAAATAGAATGATGCTAATGAATAGTGTAATATATAGCCTATATATATATATATATGTTATATTCCAGTAATAATAATATTATTATTATTGTTAACAGATAGTGAAATTAAAACAAGTAGACCATACTCTTAATGAAAAGAGAATTTTAGATGCCATAAATTTTCCATTCTTAGTCAATCTCAAATTTTATTTCAAGGTAAGATTATAAATTATTATATTTTTATGCATTTAATTTACATTTTATACTGAAATTATCCTGTGATACGTTTCTATTTTCGATTGTCATTTTAAATAAGTGTTGAGTAATTAATAAATAATCAAGGATAAAATAAATCCGTGTTTAGAAGCTAACTTAATTAACTCATCAGCTTTATTAACCTTACTTTAGTTTAATGTTATTTATATTTCATTACAGGACAATATTAATTTATATATGATTCAAGATTTTATTCAAGGAGGTGAAATGTTTTCTCATTTGAGGAGATTGGGAAGATTCAGGTATTAACATTATTAAATTTCTTTACTAATTATATATGAAATTGTTTCGTTAATTAATTCAATATTTAATAGCAATTTTTAACATTATAACAATATTGATACTGTGCTTAATCGTGAATATGTTGCAGCTTTTTATTGAGTAGTTTTGTCGATATTGAGATAACACATACATAATAGTAATAATTTTATCTGTATACATAAAAGTCAGAATATATATGCTTGTATGTTAGGTAAAGACTTATATACCGTTTAACGTATCCGATAAAATTTGGCATGAATACTCTTCGACAGCCTAAAAAAAAATACGTAGAGATCTCCACCCCAATCGACCCTAAGGCCTATCCCTTCTTAACATTATCCTGAGTAATTTATTCTGTTTTGTAGCTACATTATTGTAAATATTCGGATCAATAAATGTACATTTTATTTATAAGGCCATTCTTTTTATTACCATTTCACAGTCTAACTTCACAAATCCTCCAACCTCTCAAAAATCCGAATAACGCGGAGCAAACACAGCTAGTTCTATATAAAAACACGAGTTAAAAGTTATTTATAAATCTGAATAAACCGAGTTTTCCTCACGTTTATAACACCTAAATAAGGGACCAGTTTCCATTAGAAAGTCCTTTCGAGAGCATTCCCCGGAACAGCGCCCATCCGTCTCATTGTCGTAAACAAATAAACGAAAACCTGTAGAATAATTGATGCCATGTTGCATGAAACTTTGCACCCGCTCCAGCAATTCGTGTAGAATAAGTGACGATGTATATTAATAGTAATTATACCACAATGTTCTTTTTATTTTCAGTGAAAATTTCGCAAGTTTCTACGCTTGTCAAGTCGTAATGTCGTTCGAATATCTTCATTCCTTGGATATTCTATACAGAGATTTAAAACCCGAAAATATTCTTATTGACGAAATTGGATATATACGAGTAAGTTTATTTTTGCCAAAATTATAAAAATTATGATTATATTTAATACTTTAAATGAAATTCTTAAGTTTATTGCAACATAAAGATTATAAAATATATTAAATGTCGCTATCATATTTAATAATTCTTACAAGTTCGTTCGTGTTTACAATTACAGTTTACGAGATTAACAAAATGAAACTAATGGATGTAAATGTTTGAATTTCTTAGAAAAATACTTCTTTTTATATTTTATTTAAATAAAGAAAATTAAAAATATAAAAGTTATTAATTAAATCAAGTAACTTGATACAACGTAGCAATATTTAATACAAAATGTTATTTTAGTAGAACTTTATGCATCTCTATAGACTTGCTTGTCGAACATAACTTAAATAACATACTACAGGTTTATAAATCGACATGTTTTATGCAACTTTTTCTCAAAGTTTCCTTATATCGCTCTCCAGGAAATTTTACAGGAAAGTTTTAAAGAAGTATCTAGTGTACCAGAACCATTTAAGCCACCACTCCAGATCATCGAGTGGCGTTTTCACTTCCATGGACGAGGAACTAGAAGTTGGATTTTGGGTAGCGGTGTTTATATTATGTAACGGTAATGTTTACGGCAATAATATGTGATACGTAAATGAATGGATGCCACGAAAAAATTAGATAACGGTTCGATTGCGAATGTTATCGTGAAGGGTGTTTGTAAGGATGCGTTGCAACGAAACTGAAGAAACCGTAGACTCTTCTATTGATGAAATTCCTGCTGACTGATGCATTAAATGGGCAGGTGGAATGTGTAATTTGTGTTACATTTACTGCTAATTAGTTACCGAATCTTTATCAATAAATCACGTAACTGTATCAACAGTCGTTGGATTTGAGTTCCTAGTTTAATGTCATACAAAGCGTACACCCGTGAAATTATATCAATGAAAACATTACAACACAACNAATTATTTTGAAGGCCGAATTTATAAAATTAAGCAATATAATAAAATTATTCCAGATGTTTTCATTCGATATTTTTATCGTTTATATAAACAATCGAATTAATCAATTCAATATCAACTCTTTCGAGAGATAACGCTGCAGGATACGAAATATGGCGGTATCAGGGCGTAAGCTAATTAAAACTAATATTTACTTAGCTAAAATGAGTAATTTAGATTATAATTAAAGTCTTAAAATAACGTATATAATATTAAACGTTATATCGAGGTGGAAGATCCTTAATTTGTTATAATTTAAATTGATTCTGTCTCTGTTATTTAACACGCAGTGATACGTATCAGAATGTATTTTTGTACTTTGTGCTAACCGAATACACGTAAAGCGTACTTAAATTATTTTAAATTAAATTTTCGAATTTAAATAATTTTAAACTTTCTATCTTATCAGTTACTTTAAAGTATTTTAAAAAATAATTTATTATTGTTTTTGCAGAAATCAATTCAGTTCTCTTAGTGAAATGCCACTCAATTAACCAAGCTGGAAATTCCGAATCGTCATCAAATAAAACAAAAGATCTGGATAAAAACTCGAAAAGTTTTAATGAAAATTCAAAGAGTAAAACAGTGCAAGAAAGGAAAAGAAGCGAACAAGAAATAGGAGAAAATAAGAAAACTTTTAATCAATTAGTAGTTAAGAGTAAACGTAACAGTAAAGTTGCTTCTCTAACAGATTGGAACGAACGTAAGTATTGTAATTCTTTTATATACTAGGTGGCAGTTCGAGCACTCGGAGGCCCACACTACTTTTGAGGCCTTCAAAAAGAAGCTGCTAACTTTCGGAAACCTCTGGCGCGCGCTTCTTGGGCCTGTGCCATGATTCGCCATTTTATAAGTTTACTATTTTAAATACAGAAGAATTACGTTTGTACGTAACGGGCAAAAAATATGAAATTTTATGATGTTATCCATAATATCAGTAATGTTGAATGTAGGATATAGAATAGAATTTAAGATAAAAGCATAAACTGATATAAAAGTAACCTGAATTATAGCCTGAATTATAACCTGAATTATAACCTGAATTATGATTTATAGTTTTATTTTATAGGGAATTAATTTACGTCTCTGAAATTTTTCGTGTTATTTTTATAAATTTTAATTTTTCTATTTTTTCTAATTATATTTAAAATTTTATAATTAAAAATTCGTTATCTTTATTCCTAAATTGTATTAATGTTAAATAATTATATTCATACATATACATGTAAATATTTTACTTGTGATTAATATTAGTTCGCAATTTCTTATGACTGCTTTCCTTAAATTGTGTTGGAGGCTCATCAGTAATTTCGTAAAAGTAGAAATTTCATGAAAAATAATAATCTGACAATGCAACTTTTATGAAATTAAAAGTAATATGTTTAAATCTTTAATAAGTAATTATTATGAAATTACGAATTTATAGCAATATTCAATGAAGCGAAATACATCCATTTTTTATTTTTATAGCTGTTATATAACAGGGAAAAAGTATGGCAATCGGTCAAAAAACGGTCCTGAAAGATTTTTGCATTTTTTGACTCGGGGATCTTGAAACGTTGAGAAATGTAAAAAACAATTTGGGTGCATTTTTTTCTGCATGTATGGATACTAGTTTGTGTATTGTGTAGGAGGGGGATTCACCAATCTGAAGCTTAATTACTTCTGTGCCTTTTGTCAAAAATTTCTGAAATCTTTCAGGGAGGTTTGTGTATTAGGGGGAAATTTTTCCGAGAATTTACAGGAAAATCGAACGATTGATTAGAGAGATATGGCTCCATTCCTTTAACATCTGCCGAACCAATCTGAAGACTTAAATTATTAGAGATGTAAAGCATTAAAAAATGTCTGAAAAGTCCAGCAACAACCAGCCTTTTATCATTAGTAATCAGAAAATGTAAATGAATATTTATTACGTTTAATATTATTAACACAATTTATTTTATTATCATGAATTTATTATTCGTGTCATAATTAGACACAGATATAAGACCATTCCGTGTTTTTTGGCATTTACTGTATTACACGTCTTATAAGAGAAAACAAATCATCTCTATTCTACAAGATTAAAACTGCAAACTGAACGTGCAAGCATGTTTTAATTTACACAAAGTGGAATAAAACTTACATTAACATTACAATAATTAAATTTTTTAATGTATTGTTTGCGTATTTACAAAGTTTCTATAAATTTAAATTACGAATGAACGAGATATAAAATATTATCTTAACTACTTGATAAACATGATGCCAGTTAAATGTATCAATATCGTGATTTATTTCGGAAGATATTATCAATTTGAAATGGAATTTCAAGTCATAGAAAGTAGAAAATTTCATAGCTACATCAAAAAATCAAAATAAATTCAGAATCAAATTATTTGAAACAACTTATCAAGCATGAGTGGGATGTAACAAATTCGAAATGCAGTTTTTACTTTCCAAGCTGTTATATATAACAGAGGAAAGATTTAGAGGAAAAATGACCCCTTTTAAAATTTTTACATTTTTGAACTCAGGAACCACGAGAAGAGTAAATTTCGGGATATTTTTTATATGTATGGATGTGTGTAAGAACAGGATTTTGTTCATCCATTTTGAAGCTTAATTACTCTTGTGCCTGTTGTCGAAACTATCTTAAATTTTGCAGGGAGTAATTTACAAAACCATTTATATATCTTTAATTATATAAACTATTTATATAATATATATTATTTATGTGAATAATTCATGGAATATTTAACAAATTATTAAGTATTTAGTTTAAATACATATAACTCCGAATATAACTCGAAGTTACATAAAATTAGCTTTTAATTAGCTTGATTAATTAAATTTTATCAGATTTGTACCTATTTTTTTTTTTTGCTTGAACAACTCTGAAATGTCTATAATTGATCCGTTATATTATAAGTAATATGGCTGTGAGGAAATAAATGATTTGGATTATGGAACTTCAACATTCACTAATTTGACTTATTAATACTAATGAATTAACCTGGATAATTACTAAAATATTTTATATAGGACATAATCAAACTATGGCCAGGGAACCGGATTCGATACGAGAAAAGCTTTTATACAGCCTGCTCACAATTTTGCTTGTAGAAGTTTAGATTTACTTGGCCTCATTGTAAAAAGTTAATAGGTCTCGTAGTGCCAATAATTCAATAGGTCTCAACATGTCAATAGAATATTTAGCAGTTCCCATTTAGAAACAATTAATAATAATAATAATAATAAAACTTATATTTATTTTGTACTTGTTCAGTTCTTCCTTAGTGTACAGTAAATTATTGTATTACTCTATGTAAGTATATTGTGAGAATTAGTAAACTAACATTCTTTTAAAAATCTCGCGCACGGATCTGACTGATGAGATAGGCCATAAACATTAAAACGAGTGTGATGTAACAAATTCTCCTAAATTTAGTTCTTTTATTTGTAATCAGAATGCAGTTTTTCATGCCTATTCTATACAGTATCCAAAATCGGTTAATTAATATATAAATTAATTAGATAAATACAATACAGTAGTATCACGTACAGTACTTCGAATTTAATCAGTTCTAGCAGGTTGTTCGAAATCCGAATAAATTTTTTTCGTTAGGAAAGTAAATTAATCCGTTCTCAGTCCCTACCCAATATCCATTTTGTTAAAATTAAATGAAAATATACATGATTTAAGTATTTAATAAAGTTGTCATTATAAATTTTTCGTAACAATTCGGTTTATATTTATATCCCTGAAAAACAGTAAAACCTAATTAAAACAGAACCTTAGTTATACGAAAACCTGCCTAAACGGGAAGAATTTTTCGGAACCCAGCGATTTTCTGTATTAAAAAAAACCCGTTCAAAACATGCCAAACCGAAAAAAAAAAATACTCGGTACTGTGCAGGTCCAGTTTACGCATGTTTTGTTATATGTATTGATAAATTATATATTTTTAAAAGTGATATTATTATTATAACTTTATTTGTTAATTTTAATTAATTTTTGATATAAATATTATTTTATTTACAGTAAATACTCGTTTTGAAACAGCACGAAAATTATTTGAAGAAAAATGGGAGAATCCATCTGAGGTTTCAAATTTATTAATCTTATTTTACTAATATGAATTATATAAATTATAAAGATGATTAATTTAATAATAATATAATCGAATTTTCAGCCGTCGGAACAAGTAGAAAATTTTAAAGTATTAAAAATATTGGGAACGGGTTCATTCGGTAAAGTTGTATTGGTTCAGCATAAAACAACAGAAGAATATTATGCTATGAAAGTCTTGGATAAACAAAAGGTATTTTAATTTAATTTAATTTAATATTCTTTTATATAATATTAGCATTTACAACTTTGCTAAATAAGCCTGCACAGTTATGCAAAATCGAATTCTTAGCTTGGTTTACAAACATCGTGGAGTCATCTGATCATACAATCCTCTTCCAATCTTCTAAGTCCAGTCTTAATAGTGTTTGGCAGACTTAAAGACGATTTTATTCGTTATTAGCATTTACAATTTTTTTTATAAAACTCATCTCTACCCTGAAAATTAAGCTTTTTGCCGTTTTATAATAGTTAAAAATATAAAAAGTTTTTAAAATGAAATATGATAACAGATGGCGAAACCAAAATTTTAAACGTCACCGGGAAAATCGAGCAACTCGTTGTTGGTTTATTTAAAAATAATTCTTCAGTCAAGTTTTTTTCGTTATGTAATAATACCGTATCTTTCTAATTAAAATCGAAGATACATGATCTAAATTAATCGATTTGATTGATAAGATCAAGTGATTGCGGAGGACTTTGTAAGATATATAGACAATATTTAGAATGATTAACTTCCCTAGAATAGAAATTTACACTGAGATTAACTGTGCACGTTTTTCTACATCATTTTTCAAAATAATTAAATAAAATAATAATAAATAAATAATGTATATATTTTTATTTCATTTGTATTATTTATACATATATATTCACCAAAATTACACGAAGTTATGCATCTCATAATTACTCCATCACCTCAATAGTTAAATTAGTCATTGGTTAACACTAGATATATCTACTACATATATTGCACATAACACTTAGATTAAAGGATTTAATTTTTTCTATCTTTTGTATAATACCGATACTTGTATTATTTCGTATAGGCCTATATCTAGAACTCCTATCGGGTTATGTTGATGTTACAAAACAAATATATTTTAAATAATTAGGCATTACCCGAAAAATAGGGTGGGCAAAACTTCTTTACAAAGTTTCTTTCATTTTTTTAAAAAATGAATGTCTAATTATCGGAATAAAATGCGGTTATGTGGTAAGGATTGTGTTTCCACCATAGTTCTTCCATACTTTATGAATGTTTAAGGTTTTTAGACTTTTTGCCTACTTCGTATAAATGTGCCAAATAAATTTAATAACGAATGTATTTGATCGCCATTCAACATGTCCAACATTTCCTTCAGGTATCAATAGGCAAAGAAAAGAAAAATAGATCAATAGTTTCTAGGGGAGAAAATTAAAATAAATAGTATAAAATGCATAATAAATAGAATGATGCTAATGAATAGTGTAATATATAGCCTATATATATATATATATGTTATATTCCAGTAATAATAATATTATTATTATTGTTAACAGATAGTGAAATTAAAACAAGTAGACCATACTCTTAATGAAAAGAGAATTTTAGATGCCATAAATTTTCCATTCTTAGTCAATCTCAAATTTTATTTCAAGGTAAGATTATAAATTATTATATTTTTATGCATTTAATTTACATTTTATACTGAAATTATCCTGTGATACGTTTCTATTTTCGATTGTCATTTTAAATAAGTGTTGAGTAATTAATAAATAATCAAGGATAAAATAAATCCGTGTTTAGAAGCTAACTTAATTAACTCATCAGCTTTATTAACCTTACTTTAGTTTAATGTTATTTATATTTCATTACAGGACAATATTAATTTATATATGATTCAAGATTTTATTCAAGGAGGTGAAATGTTTTCTCATTTGAGGAGATTGGGAAGATTCAGGTATTAACATTATTAAATTTCTTTACTAATTATATATGAAATTGTTTCGTTAATTAATTCAATATTTAATAGCAATTTTTAACATTATAACAATATTGATACTGTGCTTAATCGTGAATATGTTGCAGCTTTTTATTGAGTAGTTTTGTCGATATTGAGATAACACATACATAATAGTAATAATTTTATCTGTATACATAAAAGTCAGAATATATATGCTTGTATGTTAGGTAAAGGCTTATATACCGTTTAACGTATCCGATAAAATTTGGCATGAATACTCTTCGACAGCCTAAAAAAAAATACGTAGAGATCTCCACCCCAATCGACCCTAAGGCCTATCCCTTCTTAACATTATCCTGAGTAATTTATTCTGTTTTGTAGCTACATTATTGTAAATATTCGGATCAATAAATGTACATTTTATTTATAAGGCCATTCTTTTTATTACCATTTCACAGTCTAACTTCACAAATCCTCCAACCTCTCAAAAATCCGAATAACGCGGAGCAAACACAGCTAGTTCTATATAAAAACACGAGTTAAAAGTTATTTATAAATCTGAATAAACCGAGTTTTCCTCACGTTTATAACACCTAAATAAGGGACCAGTTTCCATTAGAAAGTCCTTTCGAGAGCATTCCCCGGAACAGCGCCCATCCGTCTCATTGTCGTAAACAAATAAACGAAAACCTGTAGAATAATTGATGCCATGTTGCATGAAACTTTGCACCCGCTCCAGCAATTCGTGTAGAATAAGTGACGATGTATATTAATAGTAATTATACCACAATGTTCTTTTTATTTTCAGTGAAAATTTCGCAAGTTTCTACGCTTGTCAAGTCGTAATGTCGTTCGAATATCTTCATTCCTTGGATATTCTATACAGAGATTTAAAACCCGAAAATATTCTTATTGACGAAATTGGATATATACGAGTAAGTTTATTTTTGCCAAAATTATAAAAATTATGATTATATTTAATACTTTAAATGAAATTCTTAAGTTTATTGCAACATAAAGATTATAAAATATATTAAATGTCGCTATCATATTTAATAATTCTTACAAGTTCGTTCGTGTTTACAATTACAGTTTACGAGATTAACAAAATGAAACTAATGGATGTAAATGTTTGAATTTCTTAGAAAAATACTTCTTTTTATATTTTATTTAAATAAAGAAAATTAAAAACATAAAAGTTATTAATTAAATCAAGTAACTTGATACAACGTAGCAATATTTAATACAAAATGTTATTTTAGTAGAACTTTATGCATCTCTATAGACTTGCTTGTCGAACATAACTTAAATAACATACTACAGGTTTATAAATCGACATGTTTTATGCAACTTTTTCTCAAAGTTTCCTTATATCGCTCTCCAGGAAATTTTACAGGAAAGTTTTAAAGAAGTATCTAGTGTACCAGAACCATTTAAGCCACCACTCCAGATCATCGAGTGGCGTTTTCACTTCCATGGACGAGGAACTAGAAGTTGGATTTTGGGTAGCGGTGTTTATATTATGTAACGGTAATGTTTACGGCAATAATATGTGATACGTAAATGAATGGATGCCACGAAAAAATTAGATAACGGTTCGATTGCGAATGTTATCGTGAAGGGTGTTTGTAAGGATGCGTTGTAACGAAACTGAAGAAACCGTAGACTCTTCTATTGATGAAATTCCTGCTGACTGATGCATTAAATGGGCAGGTGGAATGTGTAATTTGTGTTACATTTACTGCTAATTAGTTACCGAATCTTTATCAATAAATCACGTAACTGTATCAACAGTCGTTGGATTTGAGTTCCTAGTTTAATGTCATACAAAGCGTACACCCGTGAAATTATATCAATGAAAACATTACAACACTACGAAATTCTAAACGATAGATTCCGAAATAATATTTAAATAAAGTTCTTACACTACACGAAACCATCTTCGTTGTATTCGATAAGTATATTTATTATAATTATTTGGTAGTTTTTTAGTAATACTAAATTATTTATTAGTATTTAAATAATTAAATATTAGTTATTTTTATATTTGTACAATAGCAAAAACTTGTCAGTAGCTTATATAACATAATGTTTTATGTGATAAACAAATGAAACATTAGACTATGAATAGACAGAAATTCTTTTAAACGAAAGGACATTCATTACTCATATGGTTGAATAGAAGAATATTATTTAAAGTCAAAATGACGCACAAGAAAGACGTTAATTTAGACTTGTGAAATTTATTGTAGTCTCTTTTGAATGTTGCGAATAGAAATCAAATTTTTTGATTTACAAAATGGAATTTCCACGAATGAAACAAATGCATCTCACCAAGAGAGCGACCACCATTCCATTTGGAGAAGAAGAGTCGTTGGAGCAGGAGGTCTTTTTGGAATTTCAAATAAATAAAACCGTTTCTAATTTCGTTTGGGCTATTTGAAATTATCTATTAAAAATAAGAAACTCATTTTCTTAAATTTAATTATATTATTTAAATATTTTAGATAACGGATTTCGGATTTGCGAAACGAGTAAAAGGAAGAACATGGACGTTATGTGGAACCCCAGAATATTTAGCTCCTGAAATAATTTTAAGCAAGGTTTGTTTAATTTATTATTTATTTTATAGGCTACTATATACGTTAAATTGTTAACAAATAAATTTTAATTAATTAATTTGTTAACAGGGATACAATAAAGCAGTAGATTGGTGGTCTTTGGGCGTTTTAATATACGAAATGGTAGCGGGTTATCCACCATTTTTTGCAGATCAACCGATACAAATTTATGAAAAAATTGTTTCGGGAAGAGTAAGTATATAATATATATATTTATTTTCGTTTTTCAAAATCGAAAAATGTTTGAGGACCCCAACGTTATATACAGAAGGCCAGTATTTAACAGACTAATTGGGAAAGGTGTAACCGCGTTTGCCGAAATTCCATTAAATGTATTTTAAAAATACGTATTAATAACAATGTTCTAAATTTATTAAAATGTTATTATAATATATAAGTACAAATGAAATATTATGGTAATGTATATGAGCCACTAATGCATTTGTTAAAAATATAAATTTACCACAGGAACAAAACTTTATTTTAGACACGTCAAAAAACTGTACAATGTAATTAAAGATCTGTTTGATTGAATGAGATTGTATACACTTTAACGTAAATTTGACGTCATTCTTTAGTATTTCTTATTGTAAAACTGAAATGGTGACGTCAAATTGACGTTAGAACGTACAATATACTAATAAATCAAACAGACCATTTGTGTTTCTACCTAACTAATGCTTACTCATTAGCATGGCATTTTATGCTTTATTCTTAAATAAAAAATGTTTTAAATTTTTTTATAGGACAGATTTTTGCCCATTAAATCGAAGACCTACTGTACATACAAATTCAAAATTTTTTGATGTATGAAACAAGAACAACTTTATTCTTACTTTTACATACAGTAGATATATAACAATAGCTTTATTTACCATGAATATACTATAGACTACACAAAACGATAATCACTTATTTTCAGTTATTAATCATTCATGCAATTCAAGTCAGATCATTATTTCATCAATGAAACATGGCAACAATTGAGACTGCGTGTCCATCAAACATTAGGTAACATATTGTTACTAACAGATATTAAAATTACATAAAACAAATATCTAAAATGCTATAAGAAAGATTATACTTATTGGCTGGTGTATTTGCTAATCAATTATTATTGCTCATCTTTCAAAACAACATAATTTTTATGCAACATTGTGAAACTGTACATACAACTAAGGATTCTGTCAAGGAAAACCAATAAGGTTTCCTCCCAGAAGCACCATGTGGACTGATTAGCCTGAAATTTACCAGACCTGAATCCTGTGGAGGATATATGGTTGCAGTTGCAGGAATCAGTATTTAAGATACGCAAACCACACAATAGCAGGCGATTAATTCGTCGGATGTAAAAGGTGTTATAATTGTCTAATTGTTTGCTGAGCACGTTCTGTTAAAGGCAATTAATTCGTGGGATTAGACAAGAGTAAACTTTTATATCAGGAATTGTAAATGACTACTCTAAAGCTTTCCTAAAGAGTAAGATAATGTATAACAAATGATAAAAGACATTGACTAAATACTAACATGGAAAATTAATATTATGATACGTTCTTTACGTTAATAAGTTGCCAGTAAAATAGAAATTCGTGCTTTTATTTTTCTTATAACTAATGAAAATATGGAAACTCTATGGGGATAATCTCTTTGGTGTGTATATACACATACATTCATATCAAGGAGATTATATTTTTTCGAACTATACGTAATTATTATTGATTTAATAAATTAAATATATATATATATTTTTTACATTTTGTACAATTAATATGAATTATATTAAATAAAAATGCTAATAACGTTGACGGTAATGGCCGCCATACTCTCACTACGCTACTGATGTAAATATAACCTGCTGTTATAATTTCTTTGATTTTTGTAGGTAAAATTTCCATCTCACTTTACAGACTCTTTGAAAGATATCTTGAAGAATTTATTGCAAATAGATTTAACCAAAAGATACGGAAATTTAAAAAATGGAGTTAACGATATCAAAAAGCATATATGGTTTTCAAAGTTAGACTGGGTTGCTATTTATGAAAAAAAGGTAAAATTTTAACCTCTTAAATGATTTTTAGTATAAATTGTTTTATGAAATTAAGTGACGAATTCTAGGTAAAAGCTCCGTTAATTCCTAAAGTTACTTCTAAAGGAGATAGTCGCCATTTTGATACATACGCCGAACCGACAAATATTATTAGGAATACGGTCACGAATAGATGTGCGGAGGAATTTGCAGAATTTTAAATGTATTTTTAGTTAAGAATTTCCAAAATATAAATATTGTACAGTGCCATTAAAATGAATTCATGAAAATAATTCAAGCTATTATCCAAAACGTCCGGATTCAATTTCCGGTTTTATTTTACTAACCAACTTGCTCCTATAATAGCTGAAATTCGAAAGGAGGAAAAATTATCGTATATTTTTCAATTTTACTTTTTTTGTATATAAACAATGTAATATTTTGAATAAAATATTGTTAAAAATTGACGATTCTTATTGTGCTGATAAACAATACTAAAGATTTTGATGGTTGGATGGCCAAACCAGTTGAAGCGTCAATATACCATTCTCGGTGATCCTGGATCTAATTCAGGAGATCGAAAAATACCAGAAATTTTTCGAGGTATGCTCTGAGGTCACCGTCCTCATTGTTAGCCTGACCGAACACATGATGAGTATGAATAAAAAAATGTGAGGTCTTTTACTCATATCCATCTTAGTGTTCATAGGGCGAAAAAAGAGTCAAAAATATAAGTTGCCTCTAAAAGAATAATCGGATGTCAAAGGATCAAATTTCTAAAACTTATCAAAACGGTTAGTGATATACCAAACGAATGGAAAACTATCCAAGATTTTATCTCATAAATGCTCTATGTGAACTCCCTTAGTAACAAGACATATAGTCAATAGTCACTTTCCTCTCACTGGCAATACAATGTGTTTTTAATATTCTAAAAGTTTATGAGTATCGGTGCACATACACACAATCCTTTATATACACCTAGGGAAGTAATCGCAACGTGCGAGATGCGGTGCCTCGGAGGCCAACTGTATAGTATAGCCATTGAGCCCATCGTGACCAATCCAAAAGTGTGGGAGCATTTCGTTCGAAATTATTTTCCAGACGCCACCGAAGTGAAACTTGGAGGGTTTCCGTTTTTCAATGGTGTTTGCCGCGTGAATAAACAATTGCTGAAAAAAGAACTATAGTCATTTGAAATCCAATGATTCTTTTATGGAAGCATTGTCTTTCGTCCTTGAGATACATTGCGACGCCTAAATAAATGAAAGTATGGTCAAATTCCGAATAAAAAAGTAAAAATCCAAGGTATACAACGTTAAAATTCGGGTTAGTGTAAAGTTAGGTAAAGTGTTTGCGTTCACCCAAGAAAAAATTTGAATAATTATCATAATTATTTATGTGAAATGTTGTAACCAGTTGTGTATAAATACAATCAAAATTCTAAATCTGAAATTTAAAAGGAATAAAATAGAACCTGATATAGATCTACATATGGAGATACGTAAAAATAGAAAAAAAAAAATTTATTCAGTGTTTTTCTTCGCTAAAGACAAAGACATATGTAATTCTATTATATATTTAAGTTCATAATATTTATTCCAATCATTATTAGAATAATATATGAGGCTGTAATAACGATTTAGATATACTCTATTATTTATAACTATACGAAATTCCGGTCTAGATAGTAAGTCATGTGATTTTTAAAAATTAAAATATGATTAAAAATTACATTCTGACATTGTGACCATGTCACAATAAATGATTTTTCGTTCATATTAAATTATTGTGATCACTAGTTTAAATAAGAATTATAATTGTAAACAATTAGAAATCTTAACAATGCTATCTACACGAAATAATAATAAACACAGGTTTTCACCCATATTTACAAATAAAAATCACACAAATATTATATATATGAGTAAAAACAATTTATTTGTTGTAAAGTAAAATATAATACAAAAATTTGCTTATTGATCAGATGAATAACATAGGCTATACAGTAAAACCTGTTGAAAATGGAACCTGAATAAAACGGAAACCTGTCAAAGCAGAAAAATATCGTTTACCGTGCAAAGTCCGTTTTACACAAGTTCTACTGTAAATATTTTCACAAAACAGCTTCTCAATTACAAATTATATTGAAATCGAACAATACTTTTTGTTATCATTCTTTTAAAATCCAGCTGATGCTGAATAAAGAAGATCTTAATTAATTAATTTACACAAGAATTCTGTTGAAATTTATAAAGTTCTATTCATTTAAATAAATATACTGTATTTCATAACACATTGGATAGAGTTATTTATATGTTATTATCCACAAGTATCTTATTCAACAAAAATATTATAAGAATAAAAGAGGGAATACTTGTTAAACTTCCAGCCCCATCTAGAAATAGAAATAATTTAATTATTAGTTTATAAAAATTTTTCTCGTGGCTTATTTTTTAGTGAAATTTTGTAAAAATAACCACAAAGACAATATTGTTATAATAGTTTACGGTTTACATCAACAACTGACAGTAATCTTATTTCGTGCAGACAGGCAGAAAATTTCTAAAAAGGTAAAACCTTTATATTCCATATAACCTAGTAAACCGTATAATACCTTATAATCCTGTATAACTCTGTATCTTCCGCCTCGAAAGTCATTAAAAACCTGACACTATGTATGCAGCTTAAAAAAGATTCCTCTTATATTTTATGTTTTATTTCTGTTAACAGTTCAATACAAATTACAAATTATTTTATTCTTTTGATTTGTCTAAAATACAGAACTTCCGAAAGATTTAAGAATCAACATTTATCTAAATTTCAAACATTGTTATATCAATTTATAGAAGAAATATATACTGACAAATGATGGAATGACGATGATGGAAAACACTTGATACAAAAACAGTTTTTTTCATAGCTCTATCGAATTTAATCATTTTGCAGTTAGAAGTTACTTTCTTTACGATTCTAAGCCGTAACATCGACTATTTACGTTTTCCATAAGTTTTTTAAGACCCCGATTGGCCTTAACTAATATTGTAATGTTTCTCGGTCCCAGATTGGTCTTTCTCTGTTACCAGTGAAATTGGACCAGATCAGTTCCCGAGAAAGACGATTGCTTATGAATAAAATTCGACACCATCTTTCGTTCGGTATTGAACGAACCTTGCACCTTAACTAGCATTTCCCTTTTTTGTTCGTCTTGTCTTATAAAAAATTTAATTTACTAATTTTTCTCCCTTTTTACCGCGTGGTTTTAATATTAAAATAATTTTATTTTTCTCTTTTCCTTTCTAATTTAGTTCCCTTCATTTTACTTAATCGCGAAGATCAAGATTCNATTTAATTTAATATTCTTTTATATAATATTAGCATTTACAACTTTGCTAAATAAGCCTGCACAGTTATGCAAAATCGAATTCTTAGCTTGGTTTACAAACATCGTGGAGTCATCTGATCATACAATCCTCTTCCAATCTTCTAAGTCCAGTCTTAATAGTGTTTGGCAGACTTAAAGACGATTTTATTCGTTATTAGCATTTACAATTTTTTTTATAAAACTCATCTCTACCCTGAAAATTAAGCTTTTTGCCGTTTTATAATAGTTAAAAATATAAAAAGTTTTTAAAATGAAATATGATAACAGATGGCGAAACCAAAATTTTAAACGTCACCGGGAAAATCGAGCAACTCGTTGTTGGTTTATTTAAAAATAATTCTTCAGTCAAGTTTTTTTCGTTATGTAATAATACCGTATCTTTCTAATTAAAATCGAAGATACATGATCTAAATTAATCGATTTGATTGATAAGATCAAGTGATTGCGGAGGACTTTGTAAGATATATAGACAATATTTAGAATGATTAACTTCCCTAGAATAGAAATTTACACTGAGATTAACTGTGCACGTTTTTCTACATCATTTTTCAAAATAATTAAATAAAATAATAATAAATAAATAATGTATATATTTTTATTTCATTTGTATTATTTATACATATATATTCACCAAAATTACACGAAGTTATGCATCTCATAATTACTCCATCACCTCAATAGTTAAATTAGTCATTGGTTAACACTAGATATATCTACTACATATATTGCACATAACACTTAGATTAAAGGATTTAATTTTTTCTATCTTTTGTATAATACCGATACTTGTATTATTTCGTATAGGCCTATATCTAGAACTCCTATCGGGTTATGTTGATGTTACAAAACAAATATATTTTAAATAATTAGGCATTACCCGAAAAATAGGGTGGGCAAAACTTCTTTACAAAGTTTCTTTCATTTTTTTAAAAAATGAATGTCTAATTATCGGAATAAAATGCGGTTATGTGGTAAGGATTGTGTTTCCACCATAGTTCTTCCATACTTTATGAATGTTTAAGGTTTTTAGACTTTTTGCCTACTTCGTATAAATGTGCCAAATAAATTTAATAACGAATGTATTTGATCGCCATTCAACATGTCCAACATTTCCTTCAGGTATCAATAGGCAAAGAAAAGAAAAATAGATCAATAGTTTCTAGGGGAGAAAATTAAAATAAATAGTATAAAATGCATAATAAATAGAATGATGCTAATGAATAGTGTAATATATAGCCTATATATATATATATATGTTATATTCCAGTAATAATAATATTATTATTATTGTTAACAGATAGTGAAATTAAAACAAGTAGACCATACTCTTAATGAAAAGAGAATTTTAGATGCCATAAATTTTCCATTCTTAGTCAATCTCAAATTTTATTTCAAGGTAAGATTATAAATTATTATATTTTTATGCATTTAATTTACATTTTATACTGAAATTATCCTGTGATACGTTTCTATTTTCGATTGTCATTTTAAATAAGTGTTGAGTAATTAATAAATAATCAAGGATAAAATAAATCCGTGTTTAGAAGCTAACTTAATTAACTCATCAGCTTTATTAACCTTACTTTAGTTTAATGTTATTTATATTTCATTACAGGACAATATTAATTTATATATGATTCAAGATTTTATTCAAGGAGGTGAAATGTTTTCTCATTTGAGGAGATTGGGAAGATTCAGGTATTAACATTATTAAATTTCTTTACTAATTATATATGAAATTGTTTCGTTAATTAATTCAATATTTAATAGCAATTTTTAACATTATAACAATATTGATACTGTGCTTAATCGTGAATATGTTGCAGCTTTTTATTGAGTAGTTTTGTCGATATTGAGATAACACATACATAATAGTAATAATTTTATCTGTATACATAAAAGTCAGAATATATATGCTTGTATGTTAGGTAAAGGCTTATATACCGTTTAACGTATCCGATAAAATTTGGCATGAATACTCTTCGACAGCCTAAAAAAAAATACGTAGAGATCTCCACCCCAATCGACCCTAAGGCCTATCCCTTCTTAACATTATCCTGAGTAATTTATTCTGTTTTGTAGCTACATTATTGTAAATATTCGGATCAATAAATGTACATTTTATTTATAAGGCCATTCTTTTTATTACCATTTCACAGTCTAACTTCACAAATCCTCCAACCTCTCAAAAATCCGAATAACGCGGAGCAAACACAGCTAGTTCTATATAAAAACACGAGTTAAAAGTTATTTATAAATCTGAATAAACCGAGTTTTCCTCACGTTTATAACACCTAAATAAGGGACCAGTTTCCATTAGAAAGTCCTTTCGAGAGCATTCCCCGGAACAGCGCCCATCCGTCTCATTGTCGTAAACAAATAAACGAAAACCTGTAGAATAATTGATGCCATGTTGCATGAAACTTTGCACCCGCTCCAGCAATTCGTGTAGAATAAGTGACGATGTATATTAATAGTAATTATACCACAATGTTCTTTTTATTTTCAGTGAAAATTTCGCAAGTTTCTACGCTTGTCAAGTCGTAATGTCGTTCGAATATCTTCATTCCTTGGATATTCTATACAGAGATTTAAAACCCGAAAATATTCTTATTGACGAAATTGGATATATACGAGTAAGTTTATTTTTGCCAAAATTATAAAAATTATGATTATATTTAATACTTTAAATGAAATTCTTAAGTTTATTGCAACATAAAGATTATAAAATATATTAAATGTCGCTATCATATTTAATAATTCTTACAAGTTCGTTCGTGTTTACAATTACAGTTTACGAGATTAACAAAATGAAACTAATGGATGTAAATGTTTGAATTTCTTAGAAAAATACTTCTTTTTATATTTTATTTAAATAAAGAAAATTAAAAACATAAAAGTTATTAATTAAATCAAGTAACTTGATACAACGTAGCAATATTTAATACAAAATGTTATTTTAGTAGAACTTTATGCATCTCTATAGACTTGCTTGTCGAACATAACTTAAATAACATACTACAGGTTTATAAATCGACATGTTTTATGCAACTTTTTCTCAAAGTTTCCTTATATCGCTCTCCAGGAAATTTTACAGGAAAGTTTTAAAGAAGTATCTAGTGTACCAGAACCATTTAAGCCACCACTCCAGATCATCGAGTGGCGTTTTCACTTCCATGGACGAGGAACTAGAAGTTGGATTTTGGGTAGCGGTGTTTATATTATGTAACGGTAATGTTTACGGCAATAATATGTGATACGTAAATGAATGGATGCCACGAAAAAATTAGATAACGGTTCGATTGCGAATGTTATCGTGAAGGGTGTTTGTAAGGATGCGTTGTAACGAAACTGAAGAAACCGTAGACTCTTCTATTGATGAAATTCCTGCTGACTGATGCATTAAATGGGCAGGTGGAATGTGTAATTTGTGTTACATTTACTGCTAATTAGTTACCGAATCTTTATCAATAAATCACGTAACTGTATCAACAGTCGTTGGATTTGAGTTCCGAGTTTAATGTCATACAAAGCGTACACCCGTGAAATTATACCAATGAAAACATTACAACAAATTTTAAACGTC